TTCTTTTTATTTATTTTGAGATGGGATACTTGTTAAGTGGCTAAATTGCTCAGGCTAAACTTGAACTTGCAGTCCGTTAGCTTCCGCCTCACAGAACGCTGGGGTTACAGGCATGAGCCACTGTGCTTGGCTAAAATTTATGCATGATTAACAAGACCTAGTCGCCTACCACCCGAAATGGAAAAGGGTAAGGTCGAATAGCTCAGAGAAGAGGAAGCCAAGAATAACCAATGAACCGGACTTGGCCTCATGAATAATCGGAGAGTAGAAATTAAGCCACTGAGAGACAGCATCTTTCACACCCTTTAGGTTGGATTCTCTGTGCCTTTGCTGCCTCCCTGTAGGGAGACCCCCACCCTTCACCTCGCCCTCCAGGTTAGAGCTGGGTGCAAAAGGGCTAGCCAGGAGCCCATCGCTCCTAGGGAACCCACCAATCCAGGGAGGCCTTGTTCCTCAGCCCCAATCAGCCAGGGTCTGATGTCAACTAGAGCCCGCCCACATTGTTTCAAGAGCCAATCCTAGGCAGTTGTCCTGCTGTCGGCTCCACCCTCCCAAGGAAAACCCATTACAGACTCTGGGCCACGCCCTCCCTCACCCAGAGGTAGTTTGACCAAGCCTGGTGCTTACCCCTGTGGCTCTGTGTACTGGAAATGTCAGTACAGGGGTGTTTCAATATCATTAACTGCTCTGCGGTGTCACCCATCACCTACGCAAATTGGAATCTTATAGGTACAATGGACACAGTGCAGAGATGGCCTTGTGGATTACCACAATAAACACTGGAGACAACCTAAGTGACCATTCTAGGAGAGCAATAAACGTATCTCAGGGTTCCTTAAAGGTTTACCAAAAAACCATATTGTAGAAGACCAAGCCATGAGTGACACGGCTGAGGAGAAACAGCAAGTCCCAAAATAAATGAATTGTGTTGCCAAGCTGGGAGGCTGAGGCATGAGGATCTTGAGTTCCAGTCCAGCCCGGGCCAGGCCCCACAGAGACTCAGTGAGGCCCTGTCTCAAAATGAAAAAAACAAAAAGAGTTGGGGATGGTGGCTCAGGTCAAAAGCCATGGATTTAATCCCCCGTATCAAAATAAATAAAAGAAATGCAATGTGTTTGTTTATATAGAATCTGAGGATGTTTATAAAATAATACTAGGGTATGGTCTACAAAGTACTCACATATACAAAACACGAAGAGAAGGAAGATTCTTCCTGTTAGGAATCTGCTTTCCCATGAGAGAGAGGGAGAAGATGAAATCAGGAAAAAGTTCCGAGGTTTCACCTCTATCTGTGATGTTTCATTTCCTCAAAACCAAAGAAATGTTTGGTCAAAATGTCATAAAATGTTAAGATTTGTTCAAATACTTGTAAATATTTTACATTATTTGTGAGTAGTAAATTATAGTAAATATTTTGCATTAGGATTTGTCAGTCTGGCTGTTAAGTATGTGGATGTTTACTATGCTATTTTTGATATTTTACTGTCTGTTCAAACTACGTCATTAAGAAAAAAGATGCTATCAAACTGCACAAGCGATTTCAAGATCACTCAAAAGGACAACCTGACAGCTCTGTCCCTATGACAACTAGGTCAGACTTTCTTCTCTGTCCCTTCAGTTGTACATTTTTAAATTCCTGATTTTCACAAAAGATTCAAATATTGACCAGAAATGGGCCTCATGGGCATCTTTAGCTGCAAAGGAGGCTGGGAAATCACATACTGTATCCGCCTTCCCAGCTGCATGATGGGAAGTTGGGCAAAGAAAAGGTGGGCTGGGGCGTGCCTGCCCCCCACAATCTCAGTTCTTCTGATGATCTCCAATAGCATTTAATGTGCTCCTTCATAGTCTGTATTTCCTGGAAATGGGAAGTTAAGTCTCATTACATTCAGGTTAAATATTTTGGGCCTGGTGTCACTTTCGTACTCCAGGGCAGCAAATAACAACCAGTGCTTCGTTTTACAAGTTTCACAACGAAGCAGGGGTGACAAGCGGCCGTGAGAAGCCGGCCCAGAATCCAGATCTGACTTCCTCCCCAAGGGGAGCCTGGGTGGCCTCGCATACTTCGAGCCTATGCACCTTGGATTTGCAGTAGGGTCAGGGTCTCTGTGTGTTTATCTTGGTTTGGTTTTGGAACTGTGTGGTAAGCAATTTCTCTTTCTCCGAGGTGATTTCCTTGGGGATCGATGAGTCATACAAGAAACCTCAACTCAGTAAAAAAAAAAAAAAAAAACCTCAAAAGAGGAGGAGATGATTTCTGAAGTCAAACACAGAAATGTTGGGAAAGGATTCCTCTTCCATGTCACTAGAACCTTTTATTTTATGGTGGAGGTTAAACCCCAGGTCTTCAAATTGATCTACCCCTCTTCTCCTTTTGGTAAATTTTGCGATAGGTTACTAAGTTGCCTGGTATGGGCTCAAACCTGTGATCCTCCTGCCTCAGCCTCCCAGAGTGCTGGGGTGACAGATGTGCACCACCATACCAGGGCTTTCAGTGGGATGCTGGGAACAAGGTGAGATGAGACAAAGATTCTGGCCCTGGGTCTCACCAGCCCGTGTCAGCGGCGTGGAGGCCGCCTGAGGGTGAAAGCACTTAGGGTCCTCTGAGGCCTCTGCACAGGTGTGGGCTTCTAGTGTGCTTGTCTGTGCAGAGACTGTGCGGTGATGCTGTGGCCTCTGGTGACGCCGTGGGACCAGAGACCATCTCCGCTGCCTCATCTGCTCACCCGGCCCTGTGCCGGAGCCATCCCTGCCCAGTCTGGCTGCCACCTGGAAAGCATCTTAAAAGGAAAATAGCATTAACCGCTCTGCGGTGTCACCCATCACCTGTGCAAATTGGAATCTTATAGGTACAATGGACACAGTGCAGAGATGGCCTTGTGGGTTACCACGTGGGTTACCAGCCTCTGCCCATGTCCCCAGGTCCCTGTATCTTCCCCAAGTCTGCCCAAGGTGGCCCTTACGCTTCTCACCAGCAAACGAGGCTTCAGCCATGACTCACCGGGTTACCCAACCAGTCCCCTGTGCCCAGCGTCTTCGGTGGCAGTGGCTGTATTAATTTATCCTCGGCTTGCTGTAACCTCGGCCTGGCCACCACCGTCCTCCTCCCTCATCCTCCGTGCTGGCCTTATCTCCAGTCCCAGGGCCTCCTGCCTGTGCCATGCGGAACCAGCTGTCCCATCCCGCCTTATCTCCAGGCTCTGGGGGTTCCAGTCCCTTGGACTTTACTACCTTCTGCTAATGACAGATGTACCAGCTGCCCGGCACTCACAGCCCTTATCTCCTACTTTACAGCCTCCTCGGAACACATGGCTAAGTGACTGTTTTCCAGGAGGCTCAGAGGATCCTGCAGGTCAGCCTTGCTTGTAAATAGCAGAGCGAGGAGTCAGCTTCAGATCTCCCCTTCCTCCTTTTGTAAACTTTTTGTTCTTCCGTGGCTCTAGAGGTCTAATCAGGAAGTGTGGAGCTACCTCCCCTGCCCATTTTTTTTTTTTTTTTTTTTGAGACGAGGTCTCGCTATGCAGTTCAGGGAGGACTTGAGCTCACTTTGTAGCCCAGGCTGGTCTTGAACTTGCAATAATCCTCCTGCCTCAGCCTCCCGAGTGCTAGGATTACAGGCATGAGCCACCACGCCCGGGGTTGCCCTTTAAATTTTTTATGTTGAGATGGATTCTCAGTAAGTAGGTCAGGTTGGTCTTGAACTTGCGATCCTCCTGCCTCACCTCCGGTGTAGCTAGTGCCTAACAGTCCTTGTGCAGTGCTTCCCTCCTCTGCCAGCCCCTGCTGGTTCCCATCCTGCAGCTCTGCAGAGGCTCCCCACCAGCCACACCCCTTGCCTCTTCACTCTCCGGACAGCAATCTCAGCCCGGCACAATTCAGTTCTTAGTTACAGATTGCTGTGCCCCGGCCTCTGGTTATTTCACTCCTGCCTGTCTGGTTTCCAAGAAGCTCGTGTCTGAGTTGGGAGTGGAATTTCTCTGGAGCAGGGGAGGTGCTCCATAGCTGAGGGCTCAGTCTGGTGATGCCCCCGGCCTCTTCCCCCAGCAGGATGCCTCAGATCTCGGCTCACATGGTGTGTGCATGGCACATACACATGCATACACACACACATGCGCGTGCGTCTAATCAAAAGCCACCTTTCAAAACCAGGTATATGCCCAAAACTACCCCAAACAGAAAACTACCCCCTAACTGCACCCTAGGCAGTGCCCCGCTTGTTGAATTCCAGTTTGGAACACGGTGTTGGTGGGCGCTTCCAGGATGAGGGATGCCACTATGTCACCTAGAGAGGGAGAGGCCGGCTGGGCTGGGAACTGGGTGTGGACTTGGTATTTCCAGTCTATGTCTGGTCCTGCTGCTAACGCTCTCCCGAGGGGGTGTGGGGAGGTACGGTCACCCACACCAGCACCTTGTTATGAAGTTTTGGGGCCTGGGAGGGGATCCTTTCTCCAAGGGAGGTGGGGTGGGCAGCCTGTAGGACTCATCTGGTCCCCATGTGCCACCTCCCTGCCAAAGCATCTACGGACCCAGGTCTCTGCCCCGACCCCCAAGCTGTTGATCCGGGGGACTAGATATCAACCCCTCAAGTTTCTCACTTCACAGTGGGGAGCAGAGCAGATGATATGAAGTCCCAGATCTTAGGAAGGATCTAGATTTCAGGTTGAGTTCTTCCTGGGAGTTGGAGGGTTTGGAGAGGGCACAGACCAGGCAGCAGCGGAAGGAGCAGGGGTACGGCCAGTGGCCCGGAGGCCACACTTCTCTTTATGGCTTTGCCCATCGGTCAATTCTAAGATGAGGATAAACAAGCAAATAAACAGAGGAATGCATGTGTAAGAACAAATAAAAATGACTATGTAGCATGTCACAGACACCACATAGCCTGGAGGGGTGCCGGGCTCGAGGGCTGTGGGCGCTGTGTGTCCCCTTGGAAAGCTGGAGCCAGAGAGCAGCCCAGCCTCTTGGAGGAGGGGACACAGTCCTGGGGAGCGGTGGCATATAACTGCCTCACCCAGCAGCAGCGAGGCAGGAGGGAGGTGCACACAGAGCCAGCGGCAGAGGTTTTGCAACTGCATGCCTGCAGCCTGTCGAGCTGGGCTGAGCAGTGCCCGCCGCTGTGGGCATGGCCCGCGTGGGAAGCCCTGAGCGCGCCCGGCCTCACCGTCAGCAGGGACTTGGCAGGCACAGGCCCCTCGGAGGTGTTCTTCACCTCGTCCCAGGCATCAGGCGGCTCTGCAGCCTTTGAGGCTGCTTTCCGGCGGAGCCTAACAGGCCCAGGCGGTGACGGAGCCACCCGTGGGTGCCCCAGCCGACTGGGGAGAGACGGCCTCATTCCAGCTCCGGGCTGGCAAGGCAGCCAGATCGAGTTCCCACGGGGCGCGGTGGGCCAGGCTGGGCCGGCAGGCGCTGACAAGTGGATCCTCCTCCCCGTGGGAGGCCGGAGGCTGAGGAGATGGAGGAGCAGGTGTTCAAGGGGGACCCGGACACCCCCCATTCCATCTCCTTCTCGGGCAGCGGATTCCTCTCCTACTACCAGGCTGGGGTGGTGGACGCCCTTCGAGACCTGGCCCCCCGCATGCTGGACACGGCTCATCGCTTTGCAGGGACCTCAGCAGGGGCGGTGATCGCAGCCCTGGTCCTCTGTGGGATCGAGATGGGTAAGATCTGGGCGGCTTTCGCCAAGCAAAGCCCCAGGAATATTGTGGGTGTGGTGGGGACAGAGCCAGGCCTGGGGGCTGGGAGGCCGAGCTGGGGCTGGGGGCTGGGGCAGCTGCATCCATGCCCTTGTCCCTCTGTGTCTATGCTGTGTGCTGTGGCCTGGGTTGACAGAGAGAGAGGGAGAGAAGGAGGCTCTGTGAAGTTACAGGCGACACAGTCACATGCACTGGGTGCTTCCTTTAAAATGCAAACAAGCTCAGGAGAAGCCAGGCAGGAAATCTGTATCAGCCTGGTGAGGGTGGACCTTTCGCCCGGTCCCTGCAGCTGCACTGGGAGGCCTGGCGGAAGGGGAGCCAGAGGGGGAGAAAACAGGGATGAGAATGGGGCAGAGTGTGGACGCCCTTGTGTCACCTCAGGTCGGGCCACAGTGCTGTCTGTCCCAGAGGGGGCAGCTTTGGCCACACGGCAACTCTCGAGCGGATGCCTCCCTGTGGACCCTGCCAGCCGGCTCCTTGGGGTGAGGCTGGGGCTTGGAGGTTTGCTCCTGACCGAGCTCCTGCTTGGCTCCAGGCAGGGATCCAGACCCCTTCATGGAGCAGAAATTCTAGAAAGATCTAGAAATTCTAGACAGATCACGAGGAAGCTCAGGGTCAGGAAGAAAGATCGGTGGACCGGGCAGAGCGGGGTAGGGGCAGAGAGAAGCAGGTGAAGGGTGCAGGAGGACACGAGTGCCTGGATTTGGGCTACGCCTGCATGGTAGAGTCAGGGGGATGTGTGAGGGCCAGCCGCCCCGTGTGGGGCACTGGTGGCGGGGACCTTACCCTAGTCCGACCGGAAGTCTGCATGCCGGGGCTTCTATGCTGGGTGGAAGTCTTTTTTTGCTGTTGCTGTTTTGGCTTCTTGTTTGTTTTGCTGTGTTCGTTTGAGACGAGGTTTTCCAGGCTGGCCTCAAACTCAGTCATCTTCCTGCCTCAGCCTCCAGAAAGTCAGAATTACAGATGTGCGCCACCACACCAAGCTCTGGAGGTCTCTCCACCCCTCCCTCTGACCTGGTGGATTGAAAGGGTGAACTCAGGACCTTTGCACTGAGCTCCTCCATCCCTAGCACTCCCTGCCCTTTGATTTTGAGACAGGGTCTCTAAGTCACCAAATTACCCAGGTGGGGCTGAATTTGATCCTCCTGATCTTCCTGCCTCAGCCTCCCAGAGTGCTGGGATGACAGATGTGAGCCACCGGGCCTGGCTATATAAATTACGTTCTAGAATGTCTGGGCAAGTCTGTCTGTGGTGCCTTCCCTCTCAGGCATTCAAAGACTTTCGGAATGGGTTCAGTTCATTCAGCTGGATAAACAGTGCCCAAGCCCGACTGGGCCGGACCCTGACGAGGCGGGCCGTGGAAGACCAGGTGTGCTGCTTGTGCTCACAGTGTATGTTCTGGGGGAGGCGGGAGGGCTGGGTCTCCGAATGTGTCCTGTGTTGCTCGATCCGGCTCTGTCACCTCCGCTGCTGTGTGATTTTCCAGCTCCTTGTAGCGGACCCTGTTCCGTGTTTGCCTGCGAGCTCATTCAGTCCTCACAGCAATGCTGAGCGAAAAACTGTTGTCATCCCCTCTGAACAGAGGAGGAAACTGAGTCACGGGACACTTGGGTAACTCGGTGATGGTCACGCAGATAGCCGTGGGTAAAGCTAGGACCGGGGTTCAGTCTGGCCAGAGCCTGCACTCCTGAGCTTTTCACCTCGCTATTCCCTGGCAGTGCAGACTCAGGGCAGGGGTGGCGGCTGTGTGGATAGTGAGGCGCAGGTCAGACGCCTCTCTGAGAAGGCAAAGCATGCAGACCAAGCAGGAGGGCAAGGGCCCGAGGACACTTGGGGACAGCTTTCTAAACTGAGGGAAAAGTGACTTAGGTAGAGCTCTAGCTTCAGTCAGCAGCAGAACAAAAACCAGGCCAGCAGTGGTGGCAAATAGTCCTGCAATCCCAGCAAACAGGAGGCTGAGGCAGGAGGATTGCCATGTGTTTGAGGCCAGCCTGAGCTACATAGCAAGACCCCGTCTCAACAGGGCAGAGCAGAGCAGAGCAGAGCAGAGCAGAACGAGGGCCACGATGGGGTGTGCTAGATTTCCACACCCGTGTTCCTCAGCGCACGGGCACACTGGGGTTCAGTGCACAAACTGTTAGCTTTGCTGAGTCCCTCTCCTGCGTGCTGGAGCCCTCTTAACCTCGGCAGCATGGGCGTGAGCCCTGTTTTCTTCTGGATGTCATCAATCCTGGGTGCTGTCGGACTGGACAGCTGCGGTTCAGTCCATCGCTGTGAAAGTCTCACCATAGTCAGCTCTGTGGTTTAATCTGCGTGTCCTGCTTGCGGGTGGGGCAAAGTGCTGGTTCACTGTGCGCCCGTTGCCCCCGGAGCTGTCTGCTTGCTCTCTGCCGGTCTTCTGCACTTGCACCCCGTTTTAACTTCTAGGTGGTCTTTGTGTATTTTGTAGCAAATCGTTGGTCCGGTACAGATGTTGCTTGTACCTCCCCCCACCCCCCCCTGACTCTGTGGCTTAGCTTTTTATTTTTTTCTGCTGGTTCTTGTCATTCTGAAAAATTTAAATTTCAAAAGCCGTTGGGGGCTGGGGATTTAGCTCAGCGGCATAAGCACCTGTCTTGCAAGCAGGGGGTCGTGAGTTTGATCCCCGGTACCGATAAAAAGTTAAAAAAAAAAAAAAATCGGTGGTGCAGGCCTGTAATCCCAGCACACGGGAGGCTGAGGCAAGAGGATTGCTGTGAGTTCAAGGCCACCCTGGGCTACAAAATGAGTTTCAAGCCAGCCTAAACTGTAGTGAAACCCTGTCTCAAAAGGACCAAACAATAATAATAATAATAATTTCATATAGTCACACATCTGTGTCTTTTCCATTTTTTGGTTTTAAATCTTTGTAACAATGGTTTCTTCTTTGCCTTTTAGATTTTTTTCAGGTTATTCTTTCATATGTAAATCAGCTAGCTAGAGTTTATATTTGGCTGACAGGTTGAGACCGAGATCCAATTTATCCATTATCTATCTCCATCAATATCCATCTGTAGTCTGTCTATCTTCGTCATCATCCTCTATCCATCCATCTATCTATAATCTATCATCTGCCTGTCTGTCTGTCTCTCTGTCCTCTGTCTATATTTTTCAGTACTGTTATGTGAACTACGTCTTAGTTCATTTTATTTTGAGACAGGATTTTAAGGAGGTCACCAGATCACCTCCGGTTGTGTGCATAAATAACCAGGTGATTGCATAGACCCAGAAGCCTGCCTCTTAATCCCCAGATGCCGGGGTGAGGGGCACCCGCCCTCTGGTCCCCTCCCTCTTCCATCCTTTCCTTCTTCCCTCAGCGCTGCTTAGCACACCCGGATCTCTCCCCCGGACCAGGTGTGACACCTTGGGAATCCGCTCTTGCCCTTTAGGGGTTCCCCGCCTACTGAAACTTGCAGGCAGCGCCCCCCCCCTCAATTCTACTGCTAGAAAGCTGGGCTCAGGTGTCGGAAAATCAAAAGGCACAGGTGGGGGCGTCACCTGTAATCCTGAAAGGCTGCTTGGAGGTGGCAGCCAAGCTAGCACTTGAGGCTGAATGGAAGCTGGATGGGCAGAGACAGGTAGCGTAGGAGCCCAGGCTTCTAAAAAGGGGCAGTGTGGCAACATGACTAAGCCACTCGGCACAGGCATGCCGTGGCCCTGGCATCTCCAGATTGATGGGCTAAGCCTGAACTAAGACAGACTTGTCTATTTTGTGACCTGGCATCCAACACAATCTAGGAGGATCATTGCCCAACTTTAGAATGCTTGCTATCACCCTGGCTGTGCCTGCCATATTCTCTTCTCGTTGTTACAAAGTGTCCATCAGAGTGGGGGTGAGGGGGTGGGGGGGTGCGCACCTGGGATCCTAGCACTCTGGAAGGCTGAGGCAGGAGGACGCAAGTTTGAACCCAACCCGGGCAACTTAGAGACTCAGTACCTCAAAATATTAGTAGACCCCAGAGATGTCTTGATGGGTGAGTGTTGTATTCCTGGATCAATAAGCACTTACTGATCAATAAGAAAATGATCTGGAAATAGAAAAAAATTGGTAAAGCCTTTTCAAACGTAACTAGAGAATTTCTAGAGAATGGATTAACCTGATTAAAACAAATGCTGGAAGATGCCTAGACGCCAGCCCGGGACCAGGGCATGCACCTAATGTTGCAGCGGTGAGCTCCTCTGCGATTCTGTGTGCCCTGGGCAGTTTGTGTTGGTCCTGATTGGGCAGCTCAGGGTGATGCCAGATGCTGATGAATTTTTATTTTAATTCTTCTGTACAGCATTTTTTTTTTTAATTTTTTTGAGACAGGGTCTCTCTATGCAGTTCAGGCTGGCCTCGAGCTCACTTTGTAGCCTAGACTGGTCTCGAACTGGAAATGATCTCCCTGCCTCAGCCTCCTGAGTGCTGGGATTACAGGTGTGAGCCACCATGCCTGGCTCTGTACAGCGTGTCGATTCAAATTCAAGACGAAATACAATGCAGGACTGAGGCTCCACTGGTGGGGGACATTTTGTGATTTTTTTAAAACTCAGAATTGCTGTAGGCACAAGCTACTGGCATTTTGGTTGGGCAGAGGTCTCAGTTCCACACCGACCCCAGACCAAGACTGTGGACCCAGGTCCGGCCAGGGCTCTGGTCTGTGACTGTCCCTGTCACCATGAGAGTGTGCATTTCTGTCTCTTGGCTCACACTGGCTTGTGGTTTCCTACTCATTTCTTCCATATCTTTCTTGTGCATTCAACCATAAGCACAATTTTGTTTTACAATTTATTGTGGACTTTGTGTTGCTAATGTTGTCCTGGAAGCTAGAGAGATTACATGTAATCCAGCCACCACATTGCCAGAGCTGGAAATCTCCCCATTCATTGTCCTTTAAGATATGAAGAGATATCGCATTTGCTCCTGTTGCTGGGCGTGTGCTTGTGTGCATGTGTGTGTATTTGTG